ATTTCTTGGGACTTGATTTTCTCCCAGCCTAACTAACCTGTGCTAGAAATCACAAAAATACATACAATATTATAGGTCAGTTAAGAGCTTTTTAGTTTAAATTTGTATTGCCTACTTCTTTAAAAAACAAATGCACAAAATAGCATCTGGAGTATAGTGGGTTTTCAATAATTGCTTGCTGAATGTGTTTTAAATGAAATACATGCTTAGGGCAGTCACTCCCCAAATATTGAGGGGACTGGAAGCAGCAGCATTATGAGTATCAGCACTCTGCTGTGGGAGGCTGTTTATGAAATACCCTCAGCAACTTCATACGTAGGCAGTGTCCATTGCAGCTGCATCTCCTCGTTCTCTGTGGATTTACTACTTTGTAAAGATTATTCCATGTGAGAGCAGATTGCTTATCTTCATAAAGTTGTGAAAGACAAGCACAAAAATGATTTAGTGTCAGAGAAAAGGAAACTACCTTTTCTAAGTTGATATCTCTTTTTTTCCTCCTGCTTTTGTGTGAACAAGACATCCATGCAACTAATAGAATTAATTGCTGCGTGTGTTCTTGACACATCATCCCTCAGAAGTGAGGATAACACTAGCTGTGCAAGAAAGGGCAATTATTTGGGTTTTAAGAAAAAAGTAATAAGTATTTTCGGGATTTTCATAAGGATTTAAAATTTCTGCTGTACAGTGGGTAGGTACGAAAAAATACAGGTGATGAAAATATACATTCTTGAGGACTAAAACTGCAGACATGGAAAGAAATTGAATGTTCAGAAGCTTTAAATCTAATGGTGTCTCTTTGGAAGAAGCTGAGTTTTACCTACATAGCAACAGTGCAAATTACATAGCTTCATTTAATTAAAAGAGACCAATAATCTTGTTATATCTTTCTTACTAACAAGAAATAATAAGCAGAACCCAGTTTGAACCACTGTATACAGAAGGCATTTTCTAGTTGGTAACAGAATGCTTAAAATGAGAAATGAGCCCTCCATGTGGCATTCTTTTTCATTTATATTCCTTTCAGTAAAGAAATGGAATCTGTTCCCTTCATCTATTGCATTAGAATTTTTGATGCACCTGTCACCTATCATCATCAGTTTATATGGATTTCAAGTTTTCCCGATGAACAAATGTAATAACGCAGGGCCCATATGTCCACATGTCTGGGAGGGGGGAATCCACGTGGTTTTTGGATTACCTGCCTGGAATGCTTTTCCCTTTTATTGTTTGGAGTATGTCACCTTCTGTCAATCTAATTACTTCTCTCAGAAACGGCTGTTCTCAGCTCACTGCATGACAACCGCTGCCTTGTGAAAACATCCCAGAAGCCTCTGCAGTCAGTTGATCTACCCCAAAAGTGTCAGTCCCACATGGAAAGCTGACTTCAGTCGGCGGGCGGTGTGCAGACTCACTGAGGATTTACTGAGTTCTCTGAGAAAAGAGTTTCTTTGGATACATAGCAAGAGAAGCTGGTGGTTTCGGTAGATCTCTTGCCTTATCTTGACATACAGAATAAATCTTTTCAAAACATGGGCAGCTGAGAGACATATATAAATCCAGGACTTCTAGCCCCTGTAAAAGAATAATGATAGAAGTGCCTACATTATCTGACCAGTAACATTTGTAAAAGATCAAAGAAGCTTTCAGAGGCCACCAGCAGAGATTTAGATTTTACTAGAAAGGGACACGAAGGAATAATGCTTATTTATCCATGTAGTAATCCCTTTAGTTTATACCAACTATTTATTACTGTGATAAAGACAGACTTGGCAGAATCTAACAGTAATTCCTTTGTCATCATTAAACAGCTGTAGATTTTTAATATAATAAAGATAAGACAGCCCTTGCAGTTCTACATTCACACTACGGTATTCAAGTTTGTGCCATCACTTTCATTTTCAGAGCTTTATAATTCCATGGTAATCATTTGTTCTTGGCAGAAATGTGTTCTACAAGCTTTCAGCTGAGGATGATATTTTTGAACAAGTTTTTCAATGTTCTGGTTATGTGACTATGGGAATTTTGGACCTCTATATTACTATGCTTTTGGAGTTTGTGTTTGTGTAATTTCAAAATGCTCCTTTTTTAAATAACACAATTTAACTTGAAATAAAGCTATAATTTACATGGCAGAGGTATTTTATTACTGAAGTACGGATGATACTCATTATCAGATGACGTAGTCAGAGACAAGAAAGATTTATTGGAAGAAAAGAAGCCACTTTTTCCCCCTCATCTCATCACTACCTTTTCCTTTGTGACTTTGAACCACCTGGTTTGTTTGAACCACCTAACTATTTACATAATTCTTCAGGTTCCAAGTGAGCTGTTGATCAAATTGCTTTGTTTAATTGGTAAACTGATGTGTTATATTGACCCATAAGCATTCCCTCTCTGTCTAAACTTTGACATCTAAGAAGTATCAATATTTTGGCCCTAGTTTCATACTTAAAATTTTTCCACAGCCTAATTCTTAGAAATTTCTACCTATGTATTTCAGCGTTTGGTCTGATGCTGTGGATGCATATGAATGAGAGAGCTCTGTTCTGTATCCCTCACTTCATGGGTGTGGGAAAGCCTGGCCAGGGGAAGGGGCAGGAGGCCTGGGCCATCACGCATGGCCACGCTGGACTGAGACCCGGCGTAAGGTTTCCCTAAAATCCTTATGGAAGACTTGTGAGAGATAACGAGTTAATATTTGTAGAGATCTTTCAGTAACATGGAACTGGTGCTTGAATTTTTATAAGCCAAACACAGTATCTACCCCCAAAGCTTCGTAAGAACATTTAGCACACATGCATGTGCCAGATGGATTGCCATGACAGTCGATAGGCTTCTCCTAACCCTTGCGTTCTGCTGTCAAAAATCTGTACATCAAAACAACAATGATTTTTATGATCAGATTTATTGGATAAAAGATTCGGGTGCACACTGAAAAATCTGTCTCGATAAGACTCTAAATAAAAGGTTTATATAAGACTATTCTTTAACATGCCTCATGGGAATATAGGTAAAGTTTGAAAAATAGCAGATATCTTCTTGATCTTACATATTTTTCTCTGCATAAGTGATTTTTTTACAAAAAATATGTGGCGTATGATGCAAGACCCTCAGGAATTATTGTTGAAAGCTCGAGGGTATCTGGAGATCAAAGCAGAAATACATGATAATACAGCAAGTAGTTATCACCCGGGAAAATGTTCTCGTGGTTGAGATAATGCTAGTATAGAGTTTAAAGTGAAGAGAATTAAATTAGCAAAGAAAATCATTATTCTGAGTATGGTGGAGCCCTCTAAGAGTCCTTATTCTGAGTGAAAAGGATGACTGGATTCGTGATGGGGGACAGGTGGCCCCACCAATTATAAATTCCCCAAGATAGTAAATGTATATTTTATCATCTTGTGTCAAAATATTCATTTTAATATTCAAACATTTTACCACATAATAAGCTGTAACCATATGTTTATTTGTTATATTTTACTGCTATAACATTAATAAATATTTACAGAGCCACAGTGTATCATAGACGTATTAGAAACGGTAGTTCTCTCAGTCTGGTATTAAAGGAAAACCTTCAGTACCTCAGAATCTAATTTTAAATAATCTTACATTTGTTACACATTGATAAGAGCCAGGGAGTTTACATTTTTAAGACTGGCACCCCTTTTAAACTCATGTTGTTTTATTTATTTTCCCCAATTGCATGAATTAAAGATGGAGTGTTATCTCAGCTTTGAGTTCCTTAGCTTGATGTCACAGTTTTTGCTTTATTTGTATGTGAATTCTACCTTTAATAAAGATGAGCTCTGCTGAACTTTCCATTAATGAGAGACACTTAAGTACACAGCTCTTTGTAATAATTGAGGTAGTACCAGGAAAATTGAGAAATGTTGCTTGTCTATTAATAATTAACATGGCAATCGGTGTGATTAATCAGAAGTTTTATGATCTCTAAAAACATAACATTATCTCTGTAAATCAGATCGTGTACAATTAAGTTGACAACCATCAGTTTAAAAAAAAAAGAAAAGAAAAGAAATCTCAGGACTCCTGACTCATATTTTTTGTTAAAGTGTTACATTCGTATTTATCCTTCTATGACAGCTGAGACCAGACCAGACCTACACTCAGGAGACAGGAGGTTTAAGATAAGGCACTGACTTTCCACTTTCATGTGTCAGGAGACAGTCTCAGGATGATCCTGCTCGGCTGGAAGCCGGAGGAACTTTTGCTAGTTTGGTAGTTACTCACTTGGTTACCTATTTTCAGTGCTCTCTGGCTTCCTTACTCAGCTCATATTAATAAAGCCCTAAACGCAGCTGTTTTGACTTTTTTCAGCCTATGTTCAAGCAGAATACTTCTCCGTATTATCAATTTCAATACAGATTTTCACACATACAGAACTCTAGCCAGACAAAACAAAGGCGATTCTCCTCATGATTGCAGTGTCTGAACATTCTTAACAGGTGCTTTATGAGAATATTAGCTTGGTTATCTTACTGCCTTTTCCTGTCAAGTGCGCATCGAAGGGGTGGCAGGACACCATAAGAGCCAACCGTTACGTTAAATTAAGGATCCGTTTCCAACGTTTCTCCTTTTGTCATGATCACAGATTCTGAAATCATTGTGTAATGTCCTGACTTCTAATTCTCCCGTGGGAAAATAGAGTGTTCTAATTTCCCACCTTCTTTGTATTCTTCTGTCATTGTCTCTCACTAGATGTTTGGAGCATGTATGAATTCCACATCATGAAACTTCAGCCCTGTCTTTGTCCACTGATGGAATATAGTTGCAAAAGGAGTATTTTCCTTTAATTTTTTAACTAGTAACGAGTGTGTTGTTGAAATGGTTCTGTTTCTTTCTATGGTTTCTTTACCCTAATGTAATACAGCGTATGTGATAATAACTTGGAATACTGGACGGCTTGAACTTCTGTAACAGCCCTGAATGTCTCTTTCAGCCTTTGTCTAGGATTGAAATTTCCAAATTATGTGTTTCAGACGTTGAGAAAGAAGGGCCTTAATGGCTGTGACAGCCCAGATCCCGATGCAGACGATTCAGTAGGTCACAGCCCTGAGTCTGAGGACAAGTACAGGAAAATTAACGAAGATATTGATCTAATGATCAGCAGGCAAAGATTGTGTGTAAGTACTCAAAACGCCCTTCATTTTTTTTTTACTCTTGATATTTCTCTGAACCTGGCAGGCCTTGAACAAGAAAGAAAACAAAGGCTGTGAAAGCCCCGATCCCGACTCCTCTTATGCACTCACCCCACGCACTGAAGAAAAATACAAAAAAATTAATGAAGAATTTGATAATATGATCAAGAGTCATAAAATTCCTGTAAGTACCAAAGGTAGATGGCTGGTCTGCTGATAACTGCTGCAGTAACATACCTTAACCCTTTCAGTGATGGCTTGGTCTTAGAAGCACTAGAAAGTCAAACCAATACAATAGCCATCTCATCCCACGGCAGTCCATTTAGAAAGCAAACCCTTAGGGATGCTTGAATTATGTAATCTAAAAAAGTTGCCATCAAGTTCATTCGGAGGTAGAAAATTCATAGGAGGAAGAGAAAGAAAGATTTATGTGACACACCCTGACTTTGCACAATCTCTTAAACACACAGCGCACACAAATCACAGTGCACCAAGAAAACACTAGAATCTCCTTCTCAAGAAGTTTAAGGACTTACTATAAAATACGTATATATGTATACTACTGAGACCAGATACATAAATGGAACTGTAGTCCTTTCATGTAAACTGATGATCGTCACCCAAATAAAAGCTTATTTCTAAATAAAGCGTCAGCCCCTTTCCCCACACATGAAATTCAGCAACAGCACTGAAGGGTTAAAGCTAATGCTCGCTGCAGGGAAACAGACTGCATGAAAACCTAATGGTAAGATTTCAACATGTTTGTGTGCTGGGGTGATTTTAAAGCTTCATCAAAATATTCGCTTTGCCTACACCAACATTTTCCACGCTTTAACAATTGGCTAAATTTTGTCTTAACCAAGTCAAAAAATTTCTAACAGTCAATCATATGCCTTGCCAGATATTTGAGAGAAATAACTCTGCATGTATTATTTTGTTTGCCCATAAAAAAGAGGGGGAAAGTACATACCTTTAATTATAGTCTGCTATCAGTCAAGTGATGTTAATTTCGTGACACACGTTATTGCAACTCAAGGTTCACACATGCTTTCTGAATAACCGGTGTTAGTGTCTGAACCCTCCTGGCAGACAAGCTCCTCAGTTGGTAATTAATTCCTTTCTCAAAAAAGTACATTTTTTGTAACTTAGCCAAATGTCCTCAACCTGAGCATTGAGAGAGACTGCAGTAAAAATATGCCACTGCAATCACAAGTGCAGGATATTTGAGGACAAAAGCTCTAGGCTAAATCCACAACTGCACTCACAAGATAAATCGATGCATTACACATAGTAGGTGCACAGTCACCTGTGTTGAATTAAATACTTTAAAACATTTAGAAAATGTTTGGCTCTTAAACTGGCTATCTTCATAAATATATGTTTTCTTTTGTTAAGTGAAATATTATCAGCAGTGGAACATTTGTTGAATCAGAATTATTATTACGCTGTATCCTGAAGGAAAGCTAAGTGCTGTAAATTCTTAAAGGTTTCATAAACTGAGTACCACATACAGAACAACCACAGTGGGTACTTTATCAAGTGAAATATTTCCTATCAGATGCTGCAATGTATACTTGTTATACCCAGAATTCTTAAATGATAAAATATCCATTGGGATTTTATCTTGCCCAGAAAAAGGAAAGAAATAGCTCCTTTGGGCCAATTTTTTATTCTTATGACCTGAGTTTCTCTTACTATACAATACTGGTTTAGAACTGCTGGGCACTAAGGTTTGTGAATGTAAGATTTTTAAGATGAAGCATGTGAGGTGTCTCAGACAGGAGAAACCTCTTGCATAGTGTGGAAAAGGACAATATATATAATGCTGCTGATCACCCTCCCGGGCAGTGATCCTAAATGTGTGTATAACTGTAACCCCAAGAGTTCTGGGAGAACACCCATATTTGTACATCAGATCATTTTTCCCATGCTTTACGGGGAGAGAGGTGTGACACATACCTAGATTCCCTCACAGTATTTCATCCTGTCATGTAAAGGGTTCAAAATCAGGATACATGATTTCTTAAGAGGTGCAGTGGTGTGTGGTGGGGGATGAAAAACCACATCAGAGTTTGTAGGCAGGGCTGTGAGAAGGAGCCACACAGCTCCTAGCTGTGCCTCCAAGTCTTCATTTCTTTAGTAAGTGCTTCAGTCTCCCGGATGAAAAGCCCAGTTTTCGCACATCGCTTTCAGTTGCTGGAAGTAAATTTTGTTGAAAGTTTCCACAGCTGCTAAAACATTTACAGCAGGGCAAGGACACTCTGCCCTTTGTGTGTAGAGAGTGTCTCCGCCTCTTTAAAAACATTACAAGACTGTTTTTCTATTTCAAAGACCCAGTTGGAAGAGTTTTTCTTTTAAAATAGAAAATTTAATATTGCAATCACCTGTTGGTACAATGTAATTTATGCCCATATTCCTCAACGACGTGAAATAATCCACGGATGAGTTGGAATCTTGTTGACCAGCGTTTCCTCATGCAGCGTTTGCCACATTTCACGCCGGGCTGCACAGCAAGATGAAACAGCTTCATTTGAGGAACCAGGAATTGGGAAATGGGCTGAAGGAAAGAGGGGTGGATGCAAAACTGGTTGAGGGCAAATGGGAAGGAAGTGGAAATAGTTTCTCTTTTCTTCAAATAAGGGACTGTGAAGAGAGAGAAGTAGTACTGTAGCTAGGATCGAAGAAGGGGTTAAAGGGAGAAACACTTGAAATTACTTATATGCAGAGGAAGAGTGATTGAAGGAAGGAAAAGACTGGACACATAGATACAATGGAGATAAAATGACAAAGCTCAAGGAAGGGCAGGAGGATGGGGCAGGACTGAGCTGCAGATGGACCTAAGTACAGTTAAGGAATGATTGGTAGGTAGAGTGAGGTGGAGTGGGTGACCACCTTTATTTTTTATATTGAACGTCGTTTCTGTAGATATTGAGGCTAGGGAGCAGGTGCTTGAAAGAAAACTGAGGAATTGGGGAGAGAGAGGGAATGAGAGTACAGACTAGGGTTGTCAGGCAGCCTTGAGGAAATTTGGATACTAGTAGTCACTAGTCATTAGAGTCGTGGGATTTCTTTTTTCTCTGCTAATTTTCAGCAGACTGGTAATGGTCGATCAAAAGCTAACAGTGTCATCAGTGACCCCCCAAAAAGGATTCAGTTCAGTCATTCACACCGAATAAAAGAGGGCTTATTAACTAAAAATATTTCATTAAAAATATTTTATTTGACTTTTTATTGGACTTTGCCTTGTGGTAAGTTTGGGGAAAATAGTGGCTTTTGGATAAGAGTTCAGATACCTTTCTCACCACAATGACTCACTTCAGTAACCATGATCAGTTTATTCAGGGATAGGAACTAAAAGCCTTTTAGCTGTTATGCCTCTGTCTCCCAAAGCCGGGACCAACGTCATCGCCGTACAGCCCGTGCACTTACACAGGACACTGCTTTTACAGGGCCATGCTTGGTCAAATGACGTGCCTCCGCCATCTTGAAATTCTTAGTTTTTTTAACAAGGGTCCCCACATTCTCATTTTGCCCTGGGAACTGCAAGTTATATAGGCAGTCCTGCCTATAGCTTTCCATTGAATCACCCCAAATTCCCTCTTTCTTCCTGTCTTGAGTGTTCTAAAATTTGGCGCCTGGCCCTGACATCTTAGAAAGTTTGGAGTCTTTAACTACCTTTTGGCTTTCACTTTCTAAAAAAATTTTTGTCTAATTTAGATGCTTTTAAACTCCTTAGTTCTGAAAAGTCAAGAAGAAAAAGAATAACACTAATATCTTATAAACATGTGTTATTATAGCCGTTGCATTCCCTAAAACATTTAGATCTAGTTGGTCTCTTTATGGACACCATTGCTTCATGTCTCAGATCAGGTCCAGAGAGGTTAAAGGATTTACCTGGTTAAATTGCAATTTATTACACAACCTGGACTCAACAGAGATTTCTGATATTAAGGCTGATGTTCTTTCTGATTCTCTGAGATATCTTCTCAATATGGTCATTTTTAAGCCTATAATTTGATTTCAAAATTCTGTAAGCAATGCCTGATGCAGATAAGGAAACAAAGCAAAAGAGAGAGAAAATGCAAAGGCTGTTAGCATATTTTTTGAATTTTGAATTTTTTAAGAATACTCTGATATCAAAGTTCTACCTGATTGTTATATAGTCAGTCACAGAGAGTTGTTATAATAATCATCATCAAATTGTTTATGGTCCAGAATGTAGAAGCTGAATAATTCTTGGGGATTATGGGGGTTGAGGAAGGGAGAAATAGAGAGACAGTCAATAAATCAGTTATTAGGGTGGTTCAGAATTTATTAAATAATTATTAATAATCCTCTTTATTTTGGATGTGCATGTAACTACCCAGGAGAGGGAAAGAAATAGACTTAGTTGTCTACTGAGATGCAATCAACATTCTGTAGAATATTCAAGTAGTTTTGTAGCTGATCTTTAGGTATCCAGTAATAGTTAAACATTTATGAGTAGTAATAATGAATACAAATTTAAAAATTTGTAACCAAATGATAGCTTTAAAATATTAAACCTGAGTAAATATGGAAGAGGGGAGTCTTCAAGGTTAATTTTTTTCCCAAGACTTTGGTCACTGAAGGGCCATTAGTGAGCACAGACTGCACTCCAATGTGGATACTTACCCACATCCATAGTATCCATTCAGTTCATTATTTTTGTAGTTCACAAATAATAAGCTACTAGCATCCAGCTCTTACTTCACAGTATGACTTCAGATTGCAAATTCTCTTTCTATCCAAAAACTCATACTGTGTTGCACAGTGATTTAGCAGCAAAAGCAACAGGCTCAGTCACCTACTGGTTAGATGACATTGGGCCAGTTACTTAATCTTGCCAATTTTAAAAGGAAAGAACTGTATCTACAGTGAAAGAATGTTGAACAGGTCATATCATGTCATGTATATAAATTATATAGTACGGTGCCTGCTCAATAAATAACATACAGTACATTTTAATCTTATACTTTTATATTAGTACAGTGTCTTCGTAAAAATTCTTCTTTGAAGAAAAATATTCAATTCACATAATAAAAAGTAGACTAGGTTCTGCATTAGCTTAAAGTAAAAGAACTTTAGCACCTTGATGAAATGAGGCATCCTTTAGCCAACATCATCATTTGATTTTATAATAGAAGGGACACAAGAGCAAAGAAAAGTAATCAGGAGATGGCAGCCTCCGCCAACCTGTGGCCCAGCAAAAGGATGCTACCATAGGAGAACACCCTGAGCTCTCTTCTCCCACTCTCTGTACTTCTGCTGGTACCGTCACTGGCCAAACTGAAACCAGACGGCAAGGTGTAAGCAGGGTGCATGCTGCCTGGAGGGTCAGCCTCTAGGCCCAGAGCAGACCAGGGGGTGCACAGTGACTCTAGAAGGGCAAATGGAGAAGCTGTAGCATGGTTACTTGACTGTGTTTTCTCAGGTGTACTACTGTAACTCTTATGCAGTCTTTTAATAAAGGAATACAATATTTTATGTACAGACATTTATTTTACAGCATATACTAATATTTTTTCTTATTTAAAAGGTCTCTAAATTTTATTCTTAGATACTTTATCACTTATATTCCATCATATCATGGTGTCTGTCTAAAATTATTTTTGTACCCTGTTTACAACAGATAAAGCCTAATAAAGAATGATTGTGTTAATATAGCGCTTGGACATTTATTTTATTTTCCTCTAAAACAATGACAAATCAAAGATGTAAAAGAAGAGAGTTCTGAAACATTTACTTTTGTCAATATCAACATGTCCAGATCATAGGAAGGAAAAAAGTAGGAAAAATAGAGAATAAGAAACAGAAGGAGGGTAGCATACATAGAGAAGAGTATTGCAGTCATCTCCAGGGTGAACACAGAACTGCCGCAGAGCACAATGTGTGTTGCAGGCCAGTCAATCAACCAAGTAAAAGAAGACTGATGCTAGGATTATAGAAAAAAATAGTTTAATAAAAAGAACAAAAAGCTTTGAACCACATGCATATATGCATTTAAACTTGCCCATGGCTTATTTGAGAACACCTGAGGGAATGTTCTATTTACACTCATCTCCAATATACATTTATTAGATACACACATACACACATCCATTTTATATTAAGAATGCTGTGTGGTCTGACACCATGAGCCTTCTGGCAATATATTCAAAAAGTACTTTCATTTATAATATTAAAAATGGAAAAAAGAGGGAGTTGCAATTATGATTATCTAGTTAGTACGAGCAGAAAAATAAGCATGACTTTGCTTATATTGCCAAAATAATATCAAAAAAATCAATAATTGGGACCTGAACACTCTAATTGGATAACTATACAGCTTCAGTTCACTAAATATTTGCCAGCTCTCTCATTTGAGATGCAGGTCTTGCCATTTGTCAAGGTTACTATATCAAAAATGTGAAGTGCAGCATATATTCTGAACTATCATTTTAAAATAGGAATTATTGAATGATACATGCTCTGTTGAATCTGGTATCTTAAACTGTCTAATATCTTCAGAGTTACTTTCAAAAGACAGACTTTTAAAAAATAATAATTAAAGTACATGTGCTATTCACAAGCCTAGTATGATTTTATATCATTAAACTTTTGCATAAATATGCTTCAATAAGCAATTAAACCGAAGCTTCTGGTTTGCATTTTAATCCTCCTTTTTCTCTGTGAAGTCATCACAGTCACGTACCTTTGATTTTGCAGTCATTTCTGGCACCAGATTCAGATATCACAGATGAACAATTATTACTTAATAGAATGGAATTCAAGACAATGGAGCCTAATGAAATGGGGCTTTGTTTTAAACAAAAGTGAAACGTTTTCTAATAGTTGCATAGAAAGAGTTCTAAGCACATTAAAGGAATCAATTTATGATTTGAACATCGTGAGAGCTCTTCTTAATGGTCTTCTAGACACCAAGAAGTTTGGAATTTGAAATTTTTCTTGGAAAGTAAAGGCTGTCTCCACTCGAGAGCTTCTGTTTCTATTCTTCTTTTTTTAACCCAGTTTTTTTTTTCTCTGCTTGATAGGCTGTTCCACCGCCCAACTTTGAGATGCCAGTCTCCATCCCGGTGTCCAGCCATAACAGTTTGGTATACAGCAACCCCGTCAGCTCACTGGGAAACCCCAACCTTTTGCCACTGGCCCACCCTTCTCTGCAGAGGAATAGTATGTCTCCTGGTGTAACACATCGACCTCCAAGTGCAGGTAACACAGGTATGTCTCCATGATAATGCAGTGGGAACAAATCGTTGGAAAGAGCTGCTCTTGTCAAAAGACCATTTTATCTACAAGATGTTGAGTTTTCCACTTTTTCATTTGTTCCTTCACTGCTGGATCTTCAACATGATAATGCCTAACCCCATTGACATATCTTTCAAAATCTTTTATAATCTGTAATTTATCTGTTCAGCCTGTCACCAGTCTCCTCTTGTGGTTATATTTTAACCACATATTTTCTCAGACAGAATGTCAAATACCCTGCCTGTGTGTTTTTGCTTCTGCTATCCTGCCTAAGACCCACTCTTCCTCCTCACCAGACATAACTTCTTTGAAACCTTCTCCTGTGTTCTCTTACAGCATACCCCATGGTCAATTTTTATTTATTTACACAGTAACTTATACCACAAAGGATTTAAGGCAAAAAAGAAATGTGAAAGAATACCATAATTTTAAAAAATTGTGAAATATAAACAAAACTAAGTCAGAAATAAGGTTAAGAGCACATCATAAGGACATATATACCTGCCATCAATTTGTCTCTACATTTCTAGGAGATCCTTATTGTAGTACAATCTGCAGTGTCCCATCGAGAAGAAATTGTTCAGGAAGATGTCAACACTTCTTAGTATTCAGATCAAGGAAAACATAGTATGTACTAATTTGAGTATGCATTTAGTTCCCCACTGGATTTAAAGAGACTTGAAGGGAAGAATATGCTCTTGATTTGCCAGACTCATAGTAGAAGCTAAGTATATGTGTATATATCCTTCATATTTTCAAAAGAAGCACCACATAAATAATTGTATTTATAAATCATGTACAGCAAACAATTATATATTTACATATTGTTTTTTAAAACATCCCATAAGAAAATGTTAATGTTATGTACATATGACTGTATTAAAAGCAATTTATTCACAAAAGAAATTTTTTTTAGAATACTTAAATATCTGCCTGATGATTAAAATTAAACATATATTTCTATTTAGTACAGAAACTTTATGTAGAAAATAAAATCAAAATCAGCCAGATAAAAAAATCTTGATAAATCTTGAGTCTGAAAGATGTGGATAAAAGACTTCATTATGCCATTCTCTCTACTTAGCAATATGATTAAAGTTTTTCATAAGAATTTTCAATAATCATGTACTCCTTTCAGATCATACTCAAATGCAGTTGAATTTCCTGTTAGATGAATTTAGGCTTATTTATTTTTTTAAATATCATATTTTATTTCCAAAATATTATTCAGTTGAAAATAATAAACATTTTCTTAAAATGTAATAAACATTTTCTTCTAATTCTAAATCAGAACTAACTAATAATTATAGAGCATCACTTAGAAGCAATTAGAAAATAATCAGCTATTATTCTGGTCTTTTTATTTTTTGGCTAAATCTTGTTCCTTAAAAACTAACAGTAATTATTATATTTAATATCTTATTGAAACAATCCAATTCTTACATATAAATCTTGACAAATTTCAACTTACTTTCTTAAGTTAGCAATGAATAAGCCTAAGTTTCTGAATTTGTGGCCAGTGAGACGTGTTTTGTTGTGTCAATAAGTAAAATTTAGGTAATAATGAGGCCATTCACTGTAGGTAGATTCATGAAATGACCAAAATGCTAGATAATTAAAACTGCACAAAATTAAATGCGTTAAATATGTTTATAAAGAATTAAACATCAAATTTATGGTTATTTAAATATATAATAAATCTTACTCTTTGTATTTTTACTGTCAATTGAACATCCCCTTTGGAAAAACTAGACTTGGAAATAAGAAAAAATTCAGAGACCATTTCAAGACTGGATTTTCTTTAATATAATTTTTCTTAGAATAAAGATTCTGCAAAATGTCAGTGATTGAGCACAGCATGTCACAATAAAATAAATGTCAGCCGTCTGACTTAGGTAATACTTTACAAACTTAGGACTCTTTAGAGAGGACAAAATACTGAGGTTGCTAAGGGTGACATGTGGCATTCTGTGGACCTTTAGCCTTTCTCCTTTTGATCTTCCTCTTTAATCCGTAGGTGGTCTGATGGGTGGAGACCTCACATCCGGTGCAGGCACCAGTGCAGGTGAGTGGAGACATCTGTACTGCTGCACATATCAGGGTTCAGCGTTCCTTTACTGGGAGATTTGCAGGAAGTCTTTTGAACCAAGTAAAGTTGTGAGATCTGTGAGAGGCATGGAAAAATGACCCCAAGACACATGAGTGCCTTTCGCTAGCCTTGCCATTGTGTCTCAGTTAATCATTTCATGTTAAATGTGACTCACTTCTTACCCAAAGAAGCACCAAACTCCTATACTTTTCTAAAAGAGAATACAAAAAAGGAAAGGGGGGTGAGATTATAACCATTCAACAATAATTTTAATCAAGTAAAACCGTATTTGGTGTTAAAATAAGCTCTTAGAGAATCTAAATATAGTGTGGACACCCCCCCCCAAAAAAACAACAAAAACTCTTAAATATATTTCAGGTCTTAATGTCTTCCACCTTGGCCAATTGTCTCGTAGTCACATTTCTCCAGAGTTCCATATTAATTCATATTATTGATATGAGATATTGATGGCATTTTCAATGCAGTGGCAAAGCAGCACATAATACTTCTTAATGCTAACTGCAGTTCAGTATTGGCATAACAAGTAACCATGGTAATTTCTGCAAGGTGGAACATGCTATACTTTTAAAATAGTAGGAGGCAGGCATGAATGACACAAGGTTATGTTTGAAATGTCAAAAAAATTCAAGTTTATTGAACTGTATATGTTCAATATACATGGACTGCTTAATTAAAATATTTTGCCAGGGTCAAATATAATAGCCTACTGATTATAAGAAAGATAAAAAATTGGCATATAAAAACGTTCTTACAAATACATTCATTTGGGGGTAATGTTTCTCATTTCTGATGTTGGCTCCTCCCTAATTCAGTGAGTAATAAAGAAAGAGTATTAGAGTATACAGTGAATTAATAAACAGAATCAATGACACTGCTTCCTATTTTATCTTTAATTAGTGAGAGTCAAGTTAATGAGTAAACAATATACTATTTTGCTGAATATTGAAATGGAATGTTCATTTTTCCCCTCAAAAAATACTTTGTGGCCTGTTGTCTCAACATTACAGAACCAGATCCAAACCAGACCAATGTTTCTTGGATGCAAGTCTCTGACAAGGACTATGGTTAGAAAGAATGGCGGGGACTAAAAATTGGGTTGTCACAAACACCAAGAAAAAAAATAACATAAGAAAAATGGTTTAGATGTTTTGATATTTTATCCAGTATCTTGGTGCATCTGTTTGCTTGCTCTTTATGGGAACAGCCAGTAGTGGTGATGAAACTTATTAGAAGTAGTAAACGACCATGTGGAGTTGCGGGGGATGAGTTCCTCAGCTTTGATGGAAGTGGCCTCTTAGTACTGCTTAACAGCTAGCATGCGTTAGAGTCCTATGTTGAAAGTGGGCAGTGCTTGGTTGTTCAATTATGCTGTCATTGTCAGTTCCCTGACAGTCTGCTCAGTTGAATGGCCCTCCAGGAACAGAGAACATATTCAGTCTTGTAAGCATAAAAGTTAGCCACATACAGGTTATAGCATCATTGAACTAAAAAACGTCTTCTGAGCAAATTCACCCTTCTTCAGGATGCCTGCCATAAACATGAGAATCTGCTACATCAAAAACAGAGAAAACAGAGCAGAAAACACTCAGTTGCTCCACCCTCATGCTAAGAAATGCTGTATCTTGATGATTGTTTCTTGTAGTCATGAGTATATAGTTTTCACAGTTTCTGTATAGTTGTGAAAGAATTAATTCCCCACTTTTTAAAAATAGAGGCAGAAGGCCCTTCTAACTCTGGTTGCACAGAACACCTGGTGCAGATGCCAATTAGTCTTGAGTTCAGCTGTCATGGCCTGCTCACAAGCTCAGCCGTCTTCCTTTCTTTCTCCTGCTGGACAGTATCATATGTCGAAGCTGAATATATCTGTGCTGATGTCAGAGAATCACATAACACCAGGGGGAAACAAGGCCAACCAGAATGTCTCTGCATTTTCAGAAAAGAAAACTGAAGCAAAAGGGCCAAAAGACACCTTCCAAATTTTTAATATTGTCATTGAAATACAAGGTCTGAGATGAAGTGCAAAACTCTGAGGCCAAGTGGCAAGACACTACAATTAAGTGAAATAATTTTCAGACTTCGTGATTTTTTTCAAAATCCAATCATCTCAACTTATAAAAAAGGTAGACTTGTAGGGGAAGAAAGTAAATTCAATTTATTGTGTGTCTGTGAATACCAAAAGACCAAAGAGATAAACATTCTCTTTTTCAGCTCAGCTCAATCAGAAAGTATAGCATCTTTCCCATCTAGTCCTTGAACCATCCCTCTCCCTCATGCCATCATCTGGCGAGTCACCAAGTCTTACCAACTGTGCCCCCAAGTTATTTCCTAAATCTACCCTTTTCACTCCATTCTTATGCCACTCCCCTGGTTCTGGCTCATACCAACACCCCGGGCCCCCTAATTCATCTCCCTGGCTTCACATTGCATCTCACGCCAGTCTGCCCATGACTGATTAGACTTTCTCAAATCCTTAAACTAATTGTGGGTCATCATTCACTGGCCTAAAATCCAGCAGTGGTTTCCCAGCTCTTTCAGAATTAACCATGAGCCTCTTATCTCTGGCTCAATCTGCTCTCCAATCTTAAACCTTACTTCTGCCACTGCCATCAAGAACCCTGTACTCCAACTCTAATAATAGCAAACATTTAAATTGTCCTTACTATGTGCTTTATGTAAAGTAACTCATTTTTCTCATAACAGTCCTTTAAAATACATCTTCATACTACGCCCTTCTATAGATGGTAGGACTGAGGCACAGAGAGGTTAAGGAATTGGCCAAGCTGCAACCCAGGAAGTCTGTCTCCAGAGTCCCAGCCCTTAACAGCTACACTGTGCTTCCACTTTCCAAACAATGCCCAGGCCACTTGCCTTTACGTATGCATTCCTAGCACTCCTGCTTCACGCTACTGAGCCCTTGTTGTTATCCTTCAGCGTTCACTTCAGCTATTGAGGAAATCCTTTCCTATCTCTTCCAGAAGGAATTATGCACCTCTCTTCCCCCATGGCAGCTTATACCTACACTACTTATCTCATTGCATTATAATTGCAATGTCTGGGCCCACAGCTCTCTCCTGGACACTCAACCCTCTGAGGGTAAATTGTGTCTTCCTCAGTTTGGATTCCCAGCTTGAAACATGAAAGATTCTCAGTAAATGTTTGTTAGCTGAGTAAAGGAAAAGTGAATTTTATAGTCATAAATTTTTAATAACATTTATGTAAAAGATGGAAAGAATATTTCAAAGAAATTATGTAATTTTAAATAAAAAAGATGTGCCCTTTATCTATAATTCAAAAAATAATGTATTTTTCTACTACTGTATACAATGAATAATGAATTAATTACTTCATTAAATGGCTGAGCACTGTTGGCCAATAAAGTTTTACTAATTTCTCTAACTTACCTAATGGAAAGCCTAAAGAGCTGATATATAACGGTATATGAAATGTGGCTTGGTATCTCAGACCATTACAAATCACCTCTTAAGACAACGAACCTCCTACCACTTGAAGTCATTTCAAAAAGGAAGGCAAGTGGTAATAAAGAAGTAGCAGGATGGGGCTTGTACTCTTGATATAAGAGAAATATACAGAAAGTCATTATAATACATTAGTAATAGTGACATTTCTAGGTTTCAGTTGACAGTTATTCATCCACTACTTAATCCTTTCCTCTCAACAACCAAAATGAAAAGTCACTGCTTTTAAAATTATATTTTGTCATATCTCTGCATATTAAAGCTTTTAACGTGCTAATCTAAGTGGTTATTGATGATTGTAAGATCAGGTTCAGTTGAGTTTTCATCATCGTTAGATATAATAGAAGTAATCATTAGCACAGCAATGCCTTGTATTGGATTATTCACTGTCATATTAGTACCCTTTGTTTTCACTTTGATTTTTTTTTTTATTGAGTCAGATGTACCAGTATGCTCAAGGATTTACTGATTTGTGTGTGTGTGTGTGAGAGAGAGAGAGAGAACCTTTAGGAATTTCTTTGAAATTTTAAGAGAATTCTACAGTCTATAGAGCTTTTTGACAATAAGGCAGAAGAGATTTATGTATATTGGTTAATAATTTTAATTGGCATTTATTGTAAATTAGATATAATTTTATATAAAAAGAAACTAACAGCTGTTTCCTTATTTTGATTGTCAATTGTTTACTATTTTATGCATTTGGTTGTCAAGCATTGTCACTTCTAGATTGCTTAATTTATATCAGCTAAATACGTGGAGACTTGATGTCACTGTACTGCTGTAGGTAAATGACTGAGCAGTGAATAAGGAAGGAAATCTGGCTTCCAGACGCTAAAAAAGTTCTGTTGAGCAAGACCTTAGACCTAGAACCCTTTAACGTAGTACTTACATTGGGGATAAGACACAAAAATCTCTAGTGTCTGTTTACACAGAATGTGTTATAATCATATAACCATAAGACTGTAATTACATGCCTCCTTTTGAAATTCATTTAGCATTGAAAGAGAAACTTTTATCACATTATAAAATAGAACTAAGTGAGGAGAGGAAAAGGTCATACAATATTTATTATTCTTGACCAGTACCATTGTTTTACAAGTTTTTGTTTTTGAGAATACTTATCAAAAATTTCTCGGCTGACTTTCCTTTCAGTCAAAAAGACTTCTCTGAAATTCTCATTCAATGATTTGAAAGATCAGTGAAGTGGTTAAAAATTCCGTCTAAAAGGATTTGCTTTAACAAGTTTGCATTTTTGTTGCTTAACAAGAAAACCAAATTCATATTGCGATACTGAAGAAAGGGAGAGGAATACCATTTAGTTCTTCTCAAATAAGAAAACTAGTTTTGTTACTGTAGAAATATAATTTTATACTACCTTTTTAAAATATTAAGTAGCATGTGAAAAAAATCTAAGTTAATTGTTGGATTCTTGTTTTAAAAGTATTAGTTTGACTTGTTCTGACTAAAAATTCTGAGTTC